GGATATTTCTGACATGGTCTCTAAAATATGGGAGGGTGGTAGGAGTAAAGTTAGAACAACCACTGCTGACCTGACTAGATAAAGTGGCACCTTTATCTATAAATATCTTAGAGCTGTGATGGCTTATGCATAGTCATATGTTATCCTGTGGTGTTGATTGTATAATCAGATATATACTAGTGAATGTGTTTGGCAACAACACCCAAGTTTGGTTGTCGATGGAAGGCCATGCATACTTCAGAATGTGACAAGAATCATGATATAACTCATGTGGAGCAAGGGAACTGTAGACATCAGTTTCTTTGTGGCAGTGTTCTGACAAATTCAGCATATTTTGCTGTCAGAGGTGATGCTGAAACTGATTTAAATTAGGCCATGTGGTCCTACTGTAGAAATGAGAAGGAGAAATGTTATCAGTCTTGTGGGAAGGTTGGGAACAACTCTTTGATGTGCTATAGGTAAATCGAATATATAAGGTCTATCAGTGGGTAGAAAAAATTATGGCATGCTGAAACAAATAACCATCCATAAGCTCACATAGTATTACCAGAAAGTAGTTTGGAGAAACACAGGAGATCTGTATGATATGAAGATGGCAGTACCAGCAACAGTCAATAATGGGTGCTGAGAATATTTGGTCTTAAAAGGGAGGAAGTAACAAGAAATTGGATCAAATGGTATATTGGAGAACATTACGATTTGCACTCTTCACCAAATATTATCAGAGTGATACAATCAAAGAGAGAGATATGGATAGGAAATGTACGTATGGGGGAGAAGTGAAATGTGTACGTGGTAGATGATGCTGACTTTATGAGCTCTGTGGGTTTTATTTCAGGCGCTTCGATAATGATAAAGTTAAAGTATATTTTACTCACGTCTTCATTCTTTATACAGTTTTGTAGAATAACATTTTGTGATTACGGCAACAAACCTTCAGATTCAACAACAAAAGAAATTTGGTACTTGTGGGTTATCGGGACACATCAATTTAAAAATAGGTTAGGTTAGGTTAATGTGTGTGGATAAATGACAT